GCCCCGGCTGACGTTGCCCTTCCCCCCCGCCGCGGTAGGCGTTACCGCTGCTGCCGCTGCTGATGCCCCCAGCGCTGCCGCCGCCGCCTCGGCGGCCGCCTGCGCCTCCGCGTGCGCCGCCTCCGCCGCCTCGGCGCGCGCCACCGCTTCTCTCGCCGCTTCCGCTTTCGCCACGGCCGCCGCCCGTGAGGCCGCCGCCATCGCCAACGCTTCTACCGCCGCCACCGTCCGTGCCTGCTTGTGTTCGACGAGAGAGACAGGCACAGCGGCAGACAAATGATTCTTGATGATACAGTATCGCTCTTCCGGTCTTGCCGAAAAGGTTTTTTCAAGGAATACAGTTTTGGTTGCACAGTTACAAACAGATGCAAAGTCCGTCAGAAGCTGCCGCGATACTTGAGGTGGTCTGGCGAGAGGGTGGGTGCAGGAATGAAGGAACAAACACATACACACGCATCTCGCTTCTTGCTGCTGCATGCTCGGGTATCGAGAGCGGTGTGTACCGTATATGACACAAGATAACACACCCCCTGGACCGATTTTCAAAGCTCGATTACTCCACGATGAAGAGGATGCATAAATGAAACAATACGTTTTCGAACAGCTCTCGACGAGACGGTTCCAACGCCGCCGTTTTCGGCGCTGTGACTCTTCCTGCTGTTGAGAAATCGAGCTTTGAAAATCGGCCAAGGGGGTGTGTTATCTTGTGTCATATACGGTATGTGCGTGGGTGTGCGTGCGTAGCTTCGGCAAACATTTTCAAGCGACCAAATGCAAAGAGCGGGCAGATAATATAATTTTTAATTTTTGGGAAAAGCGGCAAGAGGCGCTGCGTTCGGAAATCGGTGCCTTCGTGTGACTCGATCTGGTAAATAAAGCACAGAAAAAGGAGAGGGACGACTACGATGAAAAGGAAGACGAGAAGGGTGTTGAGCGTTCGTCTGCTGCCTCGTGCCGTGTCTACACAGGGTGAGCGACATGTTGCGGAGCCTGAAAAAACTCGGCGAATGCTCACGCACATCCATCCGCACGCACATCCCATCATTTCCTTTGGCAACCGCACAGACTACAATCGTGTTCTTTCCCGACCGCACAGACGTCATTTCTTTGCGACCGAACTCCCCCCCAACCTTTGCCCACCAACTAATCGCCATCCAACCATGTTTAAATCTATCTCTACATGGCGCACCGAAATGCGACGCCACTGAGGTGTAACACCACCACCAACAACAACTACTCAACACACCGGGGTCCCAGATCATGGCCTTTTGAGCCGTTTTGTGCCTTTCAATCGCGCTTGAGACGGACGCCTTTTCGTTGGTCAGGCGGCTAGCGTGGTCCATGCAAAAACACACACACACACACACACACACACACACACACGCACACAAAATACTCACACACACCTCGGTAGCGTCCGACAAGCCCGGTGACACCGCCTCCACCCCAATATTCCGTCGCTCCAAGCCGTGACCACTTTCGAGACCGGTGCTGCCGTTAGCAACCACCGCCTCGAAGCAGGTCGGGCCGTCATCCTCGCTCAAGAAGCTGTCCGCGCGGCTGCTGCTGCCGCCGCCGGCGCTACTGCCGCCGGCGGCGGCGCTTTCCTCCCTGGCGACGGCGGCGGCGGCGGCGGCGGCGGCGGCAGATGCCGCGTTAACGCCGTACATGTGCTCCTCAGCCTCCAACGACGTGATGCCGTGCCCCTCGAGCATCAGCCTCTTCCCCCCCACGGCCATCTCCTCCACCATCACCTCCGACCGAGTACCATCGCTCGAGTAGACGATGCTGTACCTGGCGGGTTGCGGTTCAGGAACGGCGGCGACGATAATCCGGGCGCGCGCGGGTGGGGGGGTGTTCCCTTATGTTTTGCATGCCTTCGCGGTTAGACCATTGACCACGCGTTTTGTGCCGTTTTGTGCCGAGATTCCGTAAAATGACACAAGATAACGCACCCCCTGGACCGATTTTCAAATATCGATTTCTCAACGAAAGAAAGAGTCACAGCGCCGACAACGGTGGCGTCGAATCTGTCTCGTCGAGAGAAAGCTGTCCGAAAATGTTTTGGTTTCATTGATGCATCCTCCTCGTCGTGGCGTAATGGAGCTTTGAAAATTGGTCCAGGGGGTGTGTTATCTTGTGTCATATACCGTGGTACACCGGCACACGGTAGTAGACCGGCACTGCTACACCGGACACCGGCACTTAAATCCAAGCAAGGAATGACTCGGCAATCCAGTCTGTGCCCGCCGAAAACAATGTACCTTGCAACGGCATCTATCCAACCGACACTAACATTCCCCGCACTTCTGTTTCCGGAGGTTGCTGTGCTGCTGCTGCTGCTGCTGTCGAGGTGCAAACAAGCACATCGTGCAGCAGCAGTAGCGTGAAAACACCTACTTACCTTATAGACAAAGTGATGAGGAAAAAAACAAATCTGATAAAAGTGACGATAAAAAAGTTTACCTCGACGAGGACACGACGCTGTTGCACGACACGTAGCTGTAGCAAGAGTCTCCGCCGTCCCCGTCCCCCGTGGTGCCGACGCTCTGGTCGTCGAAGTCGATGAGCCCGGCCTCCCGCGGCGGCGGCGTGCTCCGGTCGTCGCGCCTCCGCCCCCCTTTTCCGCGGTGGGAGCGGCGGTTGACCTCGCTGTCGACGTCGTCAGGGTCGGGAGCGAAGGCCATCGCGTGGGCCATGCTCTTCGTAAAGGTCATCGGGTCGTCCTCTTCCTCCTCCTTCTCCTTCTCCTGCTCCTCACCGCCGCCTACCGTCCCGCCTCCTCCTCCTCCTCCTCCTCCTCCTCCTCCGTGGGGACCCTTGTCCTTGCCCCGTTGGTCTTTGGATGACCCGCGCCGGAGCGACCTCTTCCCCCAGCCGAACCCGACAATCCCCTTGGAAGCCGCGGCCGGAGAGGATGAGGACGTGGGCGACGTCGGGAGAGAGGAGGCAAAGACCGGACGGCTCAGCTTCCTGTGGAGCTTGGCCTTGGGCTTGTTGTTGCTGTTGTTGTTGTTGTTGCTGCCGCCGTCTGCGGCGGCGGCGGCGGCGGCGGGAGGAGCCCCGCTGATTCCGCCGCCTGCGCCTCCTCCTCCGCTGGTGGGGATGCTGAAGCTGTTGCTTCTCTTTATCGACAGCTTCGACGGACCGGTCTTGGTCTTGGGCGGCGACTTGTCTTTGTTGATGCTACTGCCGCCGCCGCCGCCGCCGCCGCCGCTGTTGCGATCGGGGGCGGCCCCGTTCACGGGTGTGTCTTGGTCGGGTGGTTGCTGCTTCTCGTCGGTCTCGACGCCCTTGCGGGGCGGCCGCGGCATGGAGTACGCTCGCGGCTGGGCCCCCGGCTTGCTCACCCCCCTCCTTCCACCAGCAGCAGCAGCAGCAGCAGCAGCAGCAGAAGAAGATGCCTGCTGCTTTGGTTTCGGCAAACAGCAAGGCGGCGAAAACACCAGTACATGGCGGCGACGGCAGGGGTGCACGTGAGCGAACAGTGAGGAGACGGGAATGGGGCAGCGGGCATAGATAGAACATCACAGGGCACACGGGAAGGGGCCACCCACCAAAGGAGGTCATCATCATCATCACCCGACAACACGTGGACGAGACGTACCGCGGGGTATAGGGGAGGGGGGGGAGACAACAGAATTGGTGTTTTAAAAGCCAGCAGGCGCGAAGAGTGTTTTCTCGGGGATTTCTCTTTCTCGGAATTCCACCAGCAATGGGCGGGCGTGTGCAAATGCCGGCTGGGGTAAGGGAGAGATCTTCCTGAGACACAGCACTTCGATCCGAACGATCGGGCCAGTGATGGCTGCTGCTGCTGCTGTTCGGGTCTGTAGCTGCTGTACGGCAGAGGGAGGTATCATACGGGGCCCAAAACCCGGCCTTGGGAGTTACAGCAGTTGGCAGCAAAACGAGCTCTGACTCTCAGAACAACAAATCTTTTTCCCGGTAATTTTTATCATTCCACCAAGAGCGACAGACGACGGCAATCTTTCTCCTGCCCCACTGCAGCAGTGATCTGCTCCTCCTGCTGCTGCTGTTGCTGCTGCCGCCGCTCGTTTTTCGTGAGCGTGGGAACACGAATAAAAACCCATAAAAAAAGTTTGTTGAAAAATATTTGGTAAAACATGATAGGAAAACTAGTTTCAAGAATTATTTACCGCTGGCCGTGCGTGGTATGGGAGATAACGCCTCTCATACTGCTGTCTCGTTTTCGTGTACACGGTGTGTGTGTTCGTTCCATCTATTCTGGCGCCAGGTTCCAGGCCTTTCGGCGTATACACCTGACGTATCAGCCGGGGTCACCCACGAGAGGAAGGTCACACAGGAGTTTTTTTTTTTTGTCCCACCGTTCCCCCAGCGGCGCTTGCCTCCATGTGGTTTTTATGGCGAGAAGGGTACATCCCGTGGCGGGGTGTCAAAATTTGGCACTTGCTGTCATACACAGACTCAGGCTAGGCTCGCAATCAGAGTCTATAAACAGACGTAATGTCAGGTCCCGGTTCAATTCCTTACGCATCGAACAAGGGATCCCTCCGGGAAGCCGGAGAGGAGGGCCCACAACAGCACAGCAGTAGCAGCAGTGTCATCAAGACGCGTGACTTATTAAAAATGGCAAAGAAAAATAAATAAATAAAAAAACGTAAAACCGGGCCGAAGGACCAGCCCGCCGCAAGAATATGAATGTAACGGTTGGCTGAGAAGTAACGGTTGGTTGAGACGTTTGCTTGGGCTGACGTGCTGTTGACTGGCAGAGCCCAGCGAACCTCAACGAACATCGAACCAAACACCATAAAATTACAAATCGTCGTTGCCACCGCCGCCGTCGAGAAGAGGTTACAACTATGTACGTATAGAACCTTGAGTTATTGTAGTGTAGCATGGGATCAACCGCTGCCGCTGCTCCAATGGTAGCATACGACTCCGGTGTTTCTCAACGCGCTGTGTCTGCGTGTTTTCCGTCAATACTAAATAACTAAAGTTGAGCCAAGCGTTTGCCGTGTTCTTCAACGGGTATTAAAAGATATCGCTGTGTGCTGCTCGGGAAATCATCGTGGAAAAACAGTACTTTCGCTGACGAACGCTATGGATCCATTGCTAATCTATTATAGACTCTAGATTCGTTGGGTCATCGCATACTGAAAAAAAAAAAGAAGTCTTGATTTTGAGGGCCTGAAGAGTACCGTATGCGTAAGAGGCGGAGAGATGACACCCCCCCCCCAGATAGACCGGCGTTCAAAGCTCGATTGCTCCACAACCAACCGGGTGCGGAAAGAGCTACGCACGTCTACGGAAAGCCCTCGACGGGAAGCTTCCAAAGACAAAAAAACACAGTTTTTCGTGTTGGCGCGAGTTTTGGCTGTGGAGTGTTCGAGCCTTGAAAGTCAGTCTAGAGGGGGTGCCATCTCTCCGCCTTTTACCACTGCTGTATGCAAAGTACTCGTTGCATTGCGTATTTCTGTGCAGTCGCTTTCAACCCACTTACTGAAAAGACCTCAACACATCCCTTTCGACTGAGGTTATATCTCGAACGGGTCTGTAGTATTTCTGTGAGGTTATGTCTACACTTACTTCCTAAAAATATGCTGGGTTTGTCTCACAGGGGAGAATGTCCCCCTTGTTTGGGGCGACGGAACTACACTCTTTTTCACTATTAATATGCACATGCATGCTGTAACAGAAGGAAGAGGTCGTGCGCTACAATATCCACGCCTACAAAACGTTGTTGTTCTGAATTCGTTGGCTGACGACTACCTAATCGAATCGCTGCTGCTGCTCCTGGTATGTACTTGTCGCATCATCACCATATCCTGCTGCTGCGCTGACGGAGAATCCCTGCGGAAAACCGGAAACAAATTTGTTGTCTGTTCTTCTTTGACGTGCGCGTGCGGATTATGGTACGGCGATACATGCATGGGGTAGCCCAAAAACAAACAAAGTTAATCTAAACTGCCGACCGACTGATTGATTCTGAAGGGACGAGAGTGCAGCGATGCTATCATACGCGCATTGACGTGGCACATTGACGCATACAACTACAATGGGGTGTAGGTTTTCCGCGCACTCGGCGAAACAAGCGAAATCAGATCACAGCCTACATTGTAGGGTCCCCCCAGTACTGACTGCTGTTTATCTTTCTCGAAAACACCAAGAAGCGGATTGATTGCTGTTTATTTTATTGAAGTTTTATCCACAGAAAAGGGTCCTTCCTGGATGGATCGGCAATGGGTTCATGCGTTAGCGGGCGCACCGCCCCGATCAGCATGCACACAGGGATATCAAATACCCCGCCTGTTGTAGTATCAGGCTCAGCGAGCCCGGTTGGGCGACCATCTTTCTATGTTTCTTCAAGTACTTGTCTGCAATAGCAGCAGGTGCTGGCGACCTGCGCGCAGGTGGTACTACTGCTATTTGGAGACGGGGCCATAGTATAGTGAGAATAGTAGACTCGCGCATCATATATATAGTGACAAGATCGTGGGTGGGCTGTCGATAGTGCGTGCGTTCGACCGAGCACAGCCAGTTGAGCGTCTTCAGCCAAAACATCTCAAGCAAAAAGGGGAGGGGGCGGGTACAGAGCAACGGGAGAGAGAGCGGGGGGTCGACATATTCTCTTTCTGTCGCAATCTGTCGGCCAAAAAAAGCACAATAATTTTTGTCCGTTCGCTTTCTCCCTTGTACAGAATCCTTTTTCTCTGCCTCTGGGCACACAGGCTGGCTGGGCTTGTGTGCCATGCAAAACGGTAACAAACATGCGCGGAGAGCGCCTGACAATGCACTGCAACATGCGTGCGTGCATGTTGTTGGCGATCGCGCGCGAGCTCAAGGCCTACAACCGGAGAGAGAGGGGTTATTTGGTGCTGGGGTGTGCGGGAAAAGAAACAAGAAGCTCGCAACGCAGCACTTGACCCGACCTCTACTTTGACCCGAGGGCGCAACCGGTATGTAAGGGTGCGGTAGAGACGAGAACGTATGTAAACAGGAAAACAGAAACACCTTTTGAGGTTTTGGGTAGTGAGCGCACTGCTCATGGACTTCTTATCTCTCCCGTAGAGAAGGAACAGCAGGAGGTACGTAGTACGTAGATAGATGGCCGCACACATCGTCGTCTCCCCCAAACGCCAGAGCTACACCTACGCATGAGATAGATCATCTGCTGCGAGCCAGCCACAGAGCCAGAAAATATTGGTTCACCCAACAGAAAAAATCAATTTTCGCGCGAAAAAAAATTACTCCGTTGTGAGGGGGGGGGGGGGGGGTACAGGGCGCAGCGTATGTAACGTAGGAGAACGATACCCTGAGCTGGCCTTACAGAGGCTTCTTATTATCCGCGCTGCTGCTGCTGCTGCTGTGTATGGGGCCGAGAGCCTATCGGTGGGGTGGGTCGTTCGCCAATAGTCCCAGGAGGAACTACACACACACTCCTGCTGTGGAACACATCGGCCCGTTTTCCGCAAACGAAATTCGTTTTGAAACGCAAGCGATGAGCGTAGCGCGTGCCCATATCTTTCAACCCCGACATGATGACGACCGGCATATACATACAATACACCGGCCCTAGTTGGCTGGTTTTCTACTACACGTTGGGGGCACTATCAATCGCACAACAAAGAGCGGGCTGGGGGCTTGCGCAAGCAGCAGCAGCAGCAGCAGCAGCAGCAGGTTTGGTTGATTGCCGGCGTGTCTTGCT